TGCACCGCTTGATTCGTCAGATGCGCTGGCCGATCAGAGATGTCCTGTGAGTACTTGGCCAAGGTACGCCGTACATACCCTCGGGCAAAGTAGGCCTGCGTGACAATCTAGCGCGGTAGCTCAGAAGCCATCGTGCTGCCCCACCTTCAAGGGCTCTGTCCTCGTTATCAGCAGATACATTCGAAGATCACATTTACAGCCATCCAGGAGAAGTGGCTCGCTCAAATATCGTTGAATGATTCCTTTGGGGGATCGGCCCTGTGGAGGTCTTCTCAAATACTCCAGTGAACTCCTCCGATCGAGTATCTGATGCTATCACCGTTCTCCAGCATGGCCAGGTCGCAAGTATTATCACAAGCCCGAGAACTACGGAGAGGCCCTATTATGAGGGTATACTATATAATATTCCCATTCTGAATTAGATAGATCTATGTATTGATCTCATCGTTTGTCTTGTGTCGCATTGGAAGTTGTTGGGGACTCTCCCTAGGGACTTTCATACCGTGCGTCTGGCCCTTCTATATAACTTCACTATAAGATGCTCACAAGACCAATAAGCTGTACGTTTACGCTGAGGCCTCAGTCACCCCATCAAAAAAAGTATCACGCTGATTTCTGCCAAGAATTTGTCACTCCGCGAAGCATTAACTTCTTACTTTTATGCCCATGCCCCTGTTCAACGACGCGGGTTTCACGATCCAGCAGGTCTCTTCTGTCGACCTCTTCACCGCCGCTGAAGCCGATTTGTTTTCCTGAAAAGAACGTTCCCCATCGTTGTGACTGTGGCTCATCACTTCAGGCAAGATGTACGTTTCGGGCAACCAACTGCACTCTTTCCCTGTTGATCGTGATTCAAGGCTCCTCCGCACCGCCGCGACCAGCCCACATTTACTCCCAAACTCCGGGACCTTCTGTAGCTTGTTGACCAGTACTATGCTCGGGATCTCGCTTCTGGTGAGATGACTCAGAGCTGCTGCGAGGGCGTCTTGCCGTAGTTCTCTCCACACCCACACTGTGCGCTTTGCAAACCTACCAGGACTACATGTCAACATGCAGGCCACTAAATGACGAGCTGATTCCCCTCAATTGTAGACAATTCATGAGCCATCAGTAATCGCGATACCACTGTGCACTATGCATGAGCACTACTACAGTGTTCACAGGCTGTAATGGGAAGATTCAATATTTCCATTCATTTAGGGTTCGCTACTTATTTACGCTCTATCATCAACCTGAAAGCTGAGTCAACGTCAAGCCTATCAATGACTGATTGACAATCAGCATGGAAGCTAGTCAACTCAGAGTATGTTCGCATTAGAGGGAGCTCGTATTGGCGTATATTCAACTCATCTTATCTTGCTCCGATAAGGAGCTACGCTGGAGCTACACTAAGTGGCGGATGATGGAAAGACAGCAGATGAGAGATTGGATTCCAGATGGTAAGCTCAGGTGTTGTGTTCCAAATCAGCCATTCTCAATCAAAGTGTTACAGAAGGTATTCCGAACATGAACCTCCTCACCTCTCGCCCGCCTTTATCTTCTCGGCACCGAACCCGAGGGCCGCTAACTGTTGTCGCACCATGCGGCCGTTGTTGCTGTCTCCGACGTCGGCTGTCGTCTCGGGGGAGAGACTCTCCTGTTTCTTTACTGGAGTTGTCACTTTTACCATGGGATTAGTATAGGTCGCGCAAGAAACCTCTACATGTTCACTGCCATTGGTTTCAAACGCTGCAACGGATTTCTCTCTTGACGTCTTCCCATTTTTATCCCAATCTTCACTTGGAATAGATAAGAAATTCAGTTTCAATCGACAGGAACTGGCATAACACGAATAACAGAATAACAGGAATTACACGGCGGACTCCTCGTGTTTTTTGTGTCGGTGTTCGCGAAAACCGAAACGTTTGGAAGCCCCACTTCGACCTGCTCGTGGATTTTCGAGATAATGAGCCTTGTGTAAGGAAGGCCGCAGGCTTTACTGAGGGTGAAACCATCGCGGCAGGGGACGTAGTCACACAAGGTAGTGTGCACTACCCAACATAGTGGTTTCCGCTGATGATGCTAGTTCTAGCTGCGTTACGGTCACCGACTTCTGGAATGGTAATTTGTGCACGGCAGTCGCGAGGAGTGGTCCTGCGGAGACCACGGACGACGGGACGCCTGCACGGACCACGGATGCCTGCAGACGGGCCGGCGTTGTTCCCCTGCCTGTTGTCCTCAACAGAGGCACGTGATACCCTCTTCAGGTGTGCCATATTCGTCTTCTTCTCCCAGTCCCCGCAGTTTCAGTGTGCGAGCCTTCCGGAACATCGTTCCGATCGAATGCGTATGGATGAGCCAATCTGCGTCGCGGGGGAATTCAACACGTTTAACTTAACAGTATCTCCCGTCAACATGAACATCGTAATGAGCATAATGGAAGGGTTAAATACTGCGACTTTTCTTCGACTCTCTTCAATCGTTCTTGTACTCGCGTAATAATCTCAAAAATCTGTTCGTGTTGCCACGCACGAACGATTCGACACATTCCTCCGACGGTGGAATGCCACCGGGACGATCAAACTCAACGTCTATGATCAGGTCGATGCATTTCCTTCCCTCCGGTCATTCTTGGCTTGAATGCCGTTTTGATCTTGTTTAGCTGATAAGGGAAGAGGATATGGGAAAGTGTTCTCTGGAGCTCCCCCGTGGGTCCCGCTAAAAACCCGTTATCATCGTAGTACGGGAGGTAGACGAACAACAAAACCTCACTTTTATCCATCGAAAAGGCATCCGATACACTTGATAGACCCAACAGCGGCGGAAGGCTGATGCGACAGCGCACATCATGAATGCCACCAAGATAACTCGATTTCAACGAGGCCCACCTGGCGGCGCCAGGCTGGCGCCACTCACAGGAATAACATGCACAGAATAAATTCATTCATTTATTGCACCAAGTGCGTATCACACTGTTCACGTATCGAAACACTGCAGGCGGAGTGAAGAAGCAGCAAATGCAGACACATCATGAAGATGTAAGAGCTCCAGTGAAGAGTTCACGTGGCAGCGCTAAGGTCCGAGGACACTATAGATGAGCGGGCTACGACTTGTCGTGGAGCCCTTTTACTGTGATAATCGCCGTAGACAAATCACTGGATTTCCTGACAGCTCCCGACTCCGCCATAAACGCAAGAGGTTTCTCCCACGGAAACAGTGGGCATACGCTTGAAAAAACTAACAGCTATCATCACTCTTGTAAATCTTTTGCGACTAACACAGGCAGCAAATCCTCAATAAAAGAAGCATCGATCACCTCGTCGATTCCCTCTAAAGAGCTGAGCATCGCCTCCTTCATAGAAGTCAAGCTGAAGGCGCGTGAAGTAACAATTGTCGGGAACACAGAGGAGTTTACAAAATTCTCTTCCTCGAATCCGACTCGGGTACCCAAAAGAACAGCAACGTTTTCTCCTGATCAATAGAAATCGTTGAGAGAAGCAGAGAGACACGATGTACCTCGTCAGACCCTTCAAGCTTGAAATCCACAACGCCATAGGCGGGCTCTCTCTGGTCACGGATCGCCTAAAAGACAAAACGTGGACTACAATGAGATGGAGCAGATGCATCGTATAAAACCTCTTGGTACGTCCATAAAATCGGTGTAAGTCTTATCCCTGCCACCCTCGGAAGCTACGATGACTTGATTATAATCATTAAGCCTGAAGATGATGTACCTGACAAAGGTTGCCTGCATCGACACTCTAAAGTCCAACCTGAGATCACCTCTTGTCACGATTCTGCTTGAAACTGTTGTAGGCTACTAGGCAAGAAGCATCTATACCGGTATCGGTCATGGCGAAGAAAACTGAAGAGATGACTCAACCTGTAAGTCTCAGGTAGCACTGCGTGTAACGATAAGGTCGGTCCACAGCTCCAGATAGCATTTTGTTTGAGCGACTGAGCTCATACATCTCATTAAGAGCGATGTACACGAATATTAGCCTGCTGCGTCGTCACCATATACGAATGCGCAAAGGAACGAATCGAGAGTCGAAATCCTACGTGCTTAGAATTTTTAAGTCAGGAATTCTCGGAGCATATCACAAGATGAAACGCTGCGGCTGAATCTTGCGCGGGCGCCGCACAGCAAAGAATATGAACTTTATTCTTCAGCGGCGCCAGTGTTGAGGTCCTTAAGCGACCGCTAACTCACTCTGTGGATGCCATCCACTGGATGGCGGGAAATCTGAAATGAGGAAGACGCAGTTGTCGCTGGTCGCCGGCGGCCGGCAGGTTCAGTTGTAACGTTGAGTTTTTTGCTCGTCAAATTAGCTGTGCGCTTTGACGACGAGGTGCTGTCGATATCGCGTTCACCGGCTAGTGGCTGTCCCGTTACCATCGGGTTTCTCGAATCAATGGGGCATTCGGCAGCAAAGCCCGAGCCCTTTGATGTGCTCTTTGGTGCAGTAGATGATACGTATGTCTCAACGAGACTGTCTCATGGTCGTAAAAGTTCACGACGAATGAGCTAATCAATTGATGAACTCCTTTAATACAAGCATTCCAGTATTCTCTTCCGTAATCGGTGATCATTTGATCACTATTTCCTGGATCGCACGCTTGACTATAGTCGACGACGACTCGTGCCGGGGTTAGACATACAGAATCACGTGGGCACGAAGCAAGCTGCACACCAGCAGATTCAGCCCAGGCGCACGCAGAATCTCATCCCAGTGCTTGGCGTATGGCCGGCTTTAGGCGTACTCATGTAATGAGCAAGAATGAAACGGGCAAACTGACGAAACTCGTCTATTATTAGCGAAACCGGATTAAAGCAAGAGAGCAGGAGGAACAAGGGAATCAGGGAGAAGAGGGAGAGATGAACTTTCTCTCTCTTCCCTTCTCCTCTTCTCTCCTTTCTCTCTTTCTTCTCTCTTTTCTTCCCTTCCTTTCCTCCCCTTCCTTTTCTCCTCCTCCCTCTCTCCTCTCGTTTCCTTGTCCCCCTCTTTTCAGTCGCTTTTGCCCTCAATAGCTCAGTTGGGAGAGCGCCAGACTGAAGATCTGGAGTTCCTCAGTTCGATCTTGGCCCAGGATCGAACTGAGGCCCAGGATCCCTGGGTCTTGACATGTTATATGATACTCCTATCTTCCGCCACAACAAACGAAGTTTGAGTCAAACTTCGTTCCTTGACTCAAGAATCTTGAGGGTTTTCAGTCAGACTGCTTGACTTTATCCGTCACCTGTGGCAGAACGAGCAACACTAACTTACATTAGATCGTAACTCCATACGCGTCTATCTGCGCAGATCTGCTACACGTCTGTCATGCAATGCGTGAAACCGCCACGTTACGGACAGTCCGTAACGGCCTGGCGGTCTTTCTCTGTGAGAGGTTTATTCTTTTTTGTGTAACGATGTTCAGTTTCCTCCGTGGAAGACGAGGTTCGCATTGCACGCAACACAACAAGTCAAACAGAGCTTCAGCCACGCCGCTTGAAAACGTAGCCTCTCTGGTCATCAACTATGAGATGCCAAAAATTGGGAGACAACTGGCTCGCTCCGACATGATTATCGCTCTCGATCAGTTGGGCACCTTTCTTTATAAGGGGAGGGATCACCTAATTGAAATCGCTGGTAGGTACCATAAGATACGAACAATAGACCCCTGCGATAGAGCTGGGCAACCGTACTGGGGTCGAGGAATGTACGATACGGAGTACGTTTCAAACTGCCAACCTAGTACGGGTACGGAGATCTAGTGCGTATTGAATATATTAAACAACGCATACGCGGATCAAAATTTGATCATAAAATTACGCCGTACTTAAAGTACGGCGTACTATGTAGTACGGTACGTGGGAACCGCTGCGACGGGAAGTACGGGTACGGAGCCGTACTCGTACCGTACTCCGTACTAGACCGTACCCGTACTGTCGCCCATATCTACCCTGCGATCGTACTATTCCATACCGACCAGCCGAACCAAGCACTAGCCATCCGGGATGACTCCATCCCGTCGTATTCAGGTTACTCTCACGTTGAAGCGATCGAAATCTCGAAGGTTCGGTGATCCGCCACGGGAGTTCGCAACCACCGCCACTCATGGCGGGATAATGTATCATACACTATGTATGAAAATAAATCCCCAGACATTGTCTTAACAGCAGGTTCGTCATGAAATCAACCTATAATGACACCGCCTCCCTGCCGAAATTCCACTTCAACTTCTTGAAGCCCAAGGCCCCAAGTGCACTGTCCCAATGGGAGAGTCTCATCACATAATTCCTTGGAATAGGTGTCACATCTCTTTTCCCAGAGCCATTGTATTCCTAGGATTTCCCTGCTCATCGTTATATCTTCAGTCCATCCTATCCTAGTCGTTGAGTAGAATAGCGCACAAAGTCAGAAAAGTCTTTTCAAATTGGACCCCAGGAAAATCTACTCGGCAATATACGAAAAACAACATGGCATTGCCCGAAAGCGAGGGAAAAAATGAAGAGACCGTAGGCTTAGAAGAGGCACCCACTTCTTGAAGGACATCAGTATTGGTGAGGATCGCTGGATTGGAGTTGAACTCGAGGAGGTACGGCCTCAGACCAGCTCCAGGGAGAACGTCGTATCCGAAGAATTCTCCTCCGATAATGGTGCCAGCTTTTCGCTGCACTACCGACCTGCTAATGTCACTCGAGCGAATGACAAGCGTGAGGAGTAGCCTTGCCTGCCTAAGGAACTGCGAGCTCCATCTAATGTGACGGTCGCCATCTCCATCACGATGGGTTCAAACTCACAACAGTACCAGGATTTGAACCACCATTCAGCGTCGCCCTCCCTCAACAGGCGAGGTTGATGCTAGGTATTAGGCCTGCGGGCGAGGTAATTCCAATAGTGCCGTGGAAGAATTGCAGTGGATGACTCACAGTGAATCATTTTACTACACCACAACAAAAAGATGCTAGTCCAGACTCTGGACTCCAGAGTCTATCGTGCTGTTCGAGTTTCCCACCTTCAAGGGGTCTGCCCTCGTTATCAGAAGGTACACTCGAAGGTCGCATTTACAGCCATTCACAAGAAGTGGTTGGCTCATACACCGTTGAATGACTCCCCTTGGGCGATCGGCCCTGTGAATATCTTCTCAAATATTCCAGTGAACTCTTCCGATCGAATATCTGAAGGTATTGTTGTGCGCTAGTGACCTGGCTGCTAACCATCAGGCAAATGAACTAAAGGCAATGGCAGAGTTGAATGTTCATCAGAAATGTTTATCAGCTCGCAATGCGAAGCACTCTGCGCACTTTTTATGCCCATGCCTTTGTTCAATGACGCAGGCTTTACGATCCAGCACGTCTCTTCTGTCGACTTCTTCACTGCCGCTTAAGCCGATCTGTTCTCCCAAAAAAAGTTCCCGATCTTCGCGAGGCAATTGTGGATCATCCCCCGATAGAAGCTTTTTCTGGACACCGTGCTGTACATGGTACATTCGCCACGTCTCTCAGCACAAAGGGTGCCAGCTGTCATCACGCCAATAATACACTTTGTGTGTCATTACCTCAGGCAAAATGTACGTTTCGGGCAACCAGCTGCACTCCTTCCCTGCTGATCGTGATTCAAGGCTCCTCCGCACCGCCGTGACCAGTCCACATTTGCTTCCAAACTCCGGGACCTTCTGTAGCTTGTTGACTAGTACTATGCTCGGGGTCTCACTTCTGGTGGGATGACTCAAAGCTGCTGCGAGGGCGTCTTGCCGTAGTTCTCTGCATACCCACACTGTCCTTTTCGAAACCCTGACGAGGCCGACTGCCGGGTACAACGGAATGACGATTTCGGCGTTCACTGTGAAGGACCGTTCAGCCAGTACTTGAAGCATGACCAGTGCTCTGCGAGTCTCTGGGACAGGTTTCTTCGAGCATCGTCACAGAGTCAGAGGTGGCTGTTGACTGATTGAGAATGATGCTAGCCGTTGCAGAGTATATTCGATCGCTCGAGTTTGATTGCTACGAAAATTATCCTGAAGATACATGATGTTTCTCAAACACTTGCGTCACCTCCTGCGAGCCTTTGCCTTATCGCCTCCAAACCCGAGCGACGCTAGCTGTTGTCGAACCATACAGCCGTTGTTGCTGTCACCGACGTCGGCTGTCGCCTCGGAACTAAGGCTCTCTTCCTCTTTCGCTGGAGTCGTTACTTTGACCATAGGATTGGTATACGTCGCACCGAACGTGCTGAGGTGAGAGAACTGTCTCGAATGGGAACCTGTTGAGTACTGGAGTGCTATTGGACTTACTGACTTAACACAAGAAAGACTTGGTTAAGCCGTTTCAAACCTATAACTTACGATTACAGTACTAGCGCGTGAGGCGTTTCACAGGTGGGAACGGCTCTATGGTGGCAGCAATCACACAACATCGTCGCGACTCGCCAAGTGGTTTTACGGAGAGGTTAACTTTTGAGAACAGAGACCTCAATCGAATTACCAATCGAATCGAACAGAGACCTCAATCGAATTACCAATCGAATCGAACAGAGACCTCAATCGAATTACTCAATCGAATCGAACAGAGAACCTTTAACAGAGACCCCAGTCGATTATCCAATCTCAATGAACCATCCACAGTTGAATGATAGATCGTTTACGCCTAGCAGTGAGACAATATCACAATACACTGCGTGGCGAGGGACAGCCGACCACGACAACAGAAAGCCTGCTAGGCGTAGTGGGCAAGCACCTTGTCCAGAGTCATCTGCTCGGGGAACATAGTGTCGTCACCGGAACGATTTATTGTGAGCAATGAGCATCTCATACAAGCAAGTCTGCCCCTGATCGGTACTGTTGTCACACTGTCCGTGTGGCAACTGAGCAACGGCTCAGCCGTTACGGCTGCCATTCTCACAACACGGGAGCGAGGCTCCCATCGATGTAATTTGATATGTACGATGTCCGTGAACAGCGTGATCGCACTTTACCCATATCTCAGATTTGTTCGACGCAGCGATTGGGTCACAAAGAAGTGGCTAGGTTCGCGCTTGCACAGATGCTACGATTGTCACGCAGTTCTGAGGGACAAGCGGCGGGGATCACCACTCGCATGAGAGGACGAGAGTTGCTCACAGATCCACATGCAATCGCATGAATCATATCGCATCATCAGTCGGGGGCATCATGATAGTAGCAGAAGAAATAATTGCTGAAGACAGCTGTTATTGAAACTGTACGATGCATTAATTGCATCAAAGATCCTTTCATTCACATATCTCAAGTAGAGATTCTCAACACTGCAAGCGGTCTAAGAGCGCAAGCACACTGTAAGTGAGCCGAAGCTCCCATGAAGGTCACAGGCGCCATCCCTTGCGTCGCCGTACACTACTTAAGAGCACTATAGATGTGCGCTGTGCGACTTGTCGTGGAGTCATGTCACTGAACTCTCCAGAAGTGCTCAACACCGGCACAAACGCAGAAGTTTCTCTTCATAGAAAGGATAGGCATATGCTACATGAAAGTAACAGAAATCATCACTTTTGCAGCTCACTCGCGACAGACAGCGGCGACAGATCAACAGAATCACAAACATTGATCGTCCTGTGGATTCCCTCCAAGTATCCGCACATCGTCTCCAGCAGAGACGCCAGACTAAAGCCGAGTAGCAATTGCCGAGGACACACAGAGCGTCCTACATCATCCCTCTTCTTCATGCTGGAGGTGTCGGGCGCCCAAACGAACAGCACCGTCTTATCCTGATTCAAGGGAATCGCTAAGGAGAGAAGACAGACGCGACGCACCTCCTCCGACCCTTCGGGCTTGAAATCCACAACGCCGTAAGCGGGCTCTTTCTCGTCGTTGATCGCCTGGAAGAGGGAACGACGATGAGACGAAGCTCTCTAGTAGTAGAAGTTCTCTCAAACTGGCACTTTTGTGAAATCCTCGTAAGTCTTATCCCTGTCGCCCTCAGAAGCTACGACGACTTGATCACAATCATTGACCCTGAAAATGATGTACCTGACGAAGTTAGGCTGCATCAAAATTTGAGTGCTAATCTGAGATCACCTTTTATCACGATTCTGCTTGAAGCTATTGTAGGCCACTAGGCAAGAAGCATCTATACCGGTGTCGG